GTAGAGGTGGTAGAGGTGGTGGTACAGGTATGTTGCAATGCTGTCCTAGGTTGAGGCCTCTTGCAGATGGTAGTAGAGGTGGTAGTATAGGTGGTGATATAGGTATGTTGCCATACTGTCCTAGGTTGTGTCCTCTTGCAGAAGGAGGTAGAGGTATATTTAATCTTCTTCTATGCTGAAGAATCCTAAGCAAGCTAAATCTTAATGCTTGAATTTCTAATTCTAACAAAATCTTTTCTAAGTCTTCAATAAAACTCTGCTCTGGTTCATCTGATATATCTAAACGTCCAGTGTACATCCACTCAAGAACGGAAAGAAATACAGGACGTTTGATAAAAGTTTTGAATGTAATTTGAATTGAAAAAGCTTCTCTGCTTTTGCCTTCTTTTTTGTCTCCGACTTTTTGGCCACTGCAGTGAGCACAGTGAATTTGGAAAAATGGAGTTTTCTCCAGGAAACTGGAATAAAGTTCTTGAACAGTACTGGTTTCTGAATTTACACAAAAATTACAACACTCTGTTTCATCAGTTGGCAAAGACGTTTGACCTGCATTTCTACCTCTGATTATTGCACCACAAATATTGTCAAAAGTTTTGAACAATTTTCTGAAGGTTGTGGATGCCAAGGCGAGGACAAACTTGTGTGCATGAATCTCAGGAGATTCATCTTGAAACTTAAGGATAACATCAGCAGCTCTCTTGCTGTCAAGTGTCACTTGCCAGTCACTGGAAAGTGTTGACGAACCTCTGGCACATTCAGGGGGGTCACCTATATGACAAAGAAATTAAACACCTATTTTTTAGATAATTCAGGAATGTTAGGAATGATAATCTTCTAGTATAGCTTAACTCTGCCCAGAATAAACCCAATGTGGAATATTTTAGCTCAAGAAATGAAAGAATTCATTAATACTAGTATGAATTGAGGATTTTTAAGCAGTAAGAATTAAAGGCTCCGAGTACGAGATTGTGAGCAGATAGTGCCCATGAAGTTGTTGAGAACTTTTATGCCATTAAAATGAACATGTTCACCCCCTCCCCCTAAGGCTTTTTCATTACCTTTTCCATATCCTCTACCCATCTAGATAATAGACAATACTTAAGCCAATAGCTAGCATACAAGCCTTACTTGCTTTTTCCAGGTTGGTAACATCAAAGATTTGTTCACTATATTTATCTTTGGTCTTCTTAAATCTGGACTTCAAATGATCTTTATGATAAGTAAAAGCCAACTCCACAGCTTTATCAAATAAAGCACAAACCATTCCATCTTTGTCATAGCTTTTTGTTTCAATATAATTTCTCCAACATATATTAGAGGTTTTGCAAGCGTCACAAATTTCAGTTTCTGTAACTTGTCTCCTGAATTAAGAAAGAATATATTGTCATAAAAAAGTCTAAAAAAAAGTTTTCTGGAGACAATTATTATTGGTAAATTCAGCTAGGGTAATTTGGTTACAAGACTGGAAAGAGAAATAAATACAGGCATTTTTAGTCTAAAGCCTGCTTTTTTTAAAATATAATTTCTGATGGGGGTGGGGTGGGGGTTGTAGCTCTTCCCTCCTGACCCCCTGTTTTACAAGTATATATTTTAAAAATGCAATGAAGTCTGTATTAAGATTTTTAAATAAAAAGGAAGAAATTAATTTAAGTCTTCAGACTTGAATTTTTTCCCCCAGATAACAGACATATAAGCTAAGAAAATATACTTTTCAAAATACATGGATAAACCTCCCTGGATGAGCTCTGACGTGTTTGTGCAACTCCAACCTAAACATCTAACACAGGAACTAGATATGTTGTCCATGTCATCAATATATTAATATTCTAAAAACTGTATACGTACGTAGGGAATGAAATGCGAAAAAAATTCTATCATTGAAGGAAATATTCACCTTGATTTGAGGTCAGCCTTGGTACCAACCAGAATAACTGGAACCTGAGATTCGTACTTCTTTATTTCAGGCAGCCATCTTGACGATACATTCAAGAACGATTGACGATTACAAATATCAAAGCAAACCAGGAATACTTCAGCGTCTATGTAGGCTAGAGGACGAACATGATCGTATCGTCTAGCTCCACCAGTATCTATAATATTAGCTCGAAACACACTGTACATCATGCTATGATCTCCCTTGTTCTGGTAGATACTGGTGAGATACGAGGACAGGGAAGTTGGCTTGTAGCTGCTCGGTATCTTGAAGTCGCGAGTAAAAAAACCTCCATTTTCAGACGTTGGATTAAACTGATGGCATTTGGCAATTAAAGTGGATTTTCCTACTTCTGGATCGCCAACTAAGACGATGTTCAAAGGTAGGTTGTAATCCATCCTCCTGCTACTACGAGGAAAATAAAGAACTGAGCCTTATTTACAACTTCGCTACACTAATATATATAGGGGGTCATTCCTAAAAATAGCTAGCCAATCAGATGATTTAATGTCATGATTTTCGGGGGTTTCCTTTGAAAATAGCCAGCCAATCAGAGGTCATTCTTTCTCGAATCTCGTGCTCGATTGCTTTCCGGTTATTATGTATGTTGCTATAAAAAAATTCTACCAATTATGAATAATATCTAACTTTCAAAGAATACAATGACAGAAGTCACGACAGGGAAATCGGGTAATAGATAGACAACCGTCGATTATAGAGTATGTAGCACTGATTTATTTGATTGGCAGTAGTTTATTGCCCAAAAGAATTTCCCTGTCGTATCAGCGCGTAGCAATGAAAACACCGGTAAGAATAGCTTAGCCAGTTATCATAACTATATGTTGTTCTACTCTTTCTGATAACGTGAAAATTGTAACTTTACACTGAACATTCCCACATGTAGAGAGAGTTGCCAAATGAATTATACTACGAGAAAAAATATTCAATTTACATACATATATGTTATTCAGTGCTGCCCAATAATCGGAAGTCAGTGTTGATAGGATTTGAATGGTTTTGTTTTTTAATGTGATGTCATTCAAAGAGAAAACTAATTCCGGGAGGGAGAAAGATAAACGAGTATCCTCTGTAATGGTCCTCTGAGGGGTGGGGGGTAGTGTTACGTTTTCACATATGGTCCTCTGAGGGGTAGGGAGGTAGTTACCTTATCAGGGATGGAGGGCGAAAGGAGGGGAGGGGAAAGGGAGGGCGCCCTCTTTTGCAACCCCACATAGATATTAGCTACGCTGCCTACGCACACTAAGAGTGGTCGCATTTTTTCTTCAAAAGAGGATTTGATTTTCCGCTGTATTCAAGTGGTTTAATTCGAAGCAGGGCTTGATATATTAATTTATAAGCATCTGCAGTTTCGTTCAGGATTTTGGCTAGAGGGGTTTGAACCGCCGATATTCAACAATGACTGTAGATTTTTGAGGGGCTAACTAAAACAAACAAAAACGAACAAAAAGACTGTAGATACAGGCTAATTGTGGAGAGGTAAAATGACGTTTCCAGCTTGCTTGGGTCAATATTGTGCAATTGGGGGGACCGCAGTTGTCATTTAGGGGGTTCGATTGCGGTTTAGGGGTCGGACGAATCTCCCGAAACCTCCTCCCCCCTCCCCCCTCCCCCTAGATCCCCCCTGTTAACTTTTCACGTATTCCCTCCTTTTCCCATCTCAAGAATATTAGAGTGCTTTTACTTTTCCCGTAGAAAAATAACATAATTCATGTTTCATTGGCCAAGTTAAATCACTCTACTAAAAAGAAAAGACATTACTGTTGCAGAGATTAGAAATACCCTCTGCATAGCCAAGCCTCACGAATTCAATGCGGATAGTTAGCGAGTCGAGTTTATAGAAAACGATTATCGAGTCCAGAACTGTTTTAATGAAATGGATATATCCTCTATATATGTGTAGTTGTTGTTACCTATCCTATGAGCAACTTTTTTATTTATCTATTTTTAATATATGTCCCATTATCTCACGGCATTTTATTCGCTACAAATGCTAACCGTTTATCGAGTCCCTGCACTGCTTCGAAGGTGATAAGCACAAGTTTAAGTTGTCAAATAATGTGCGGTAGAATGTTAGGCCCCGTCCACACTATGCCGGATAAATTTGAATCCGAATTTTTATTTATTCGGTTAGGCCTATACCGTCCACACTAGTCCGGGCGAATCCGGAACAATTCTTCACCGAAAACGAATTTTTGAAATGTAACAGAATAAATAAAAATTCGGATTCAAATTTATCCGGCATAGTGTGGACGGGGCCTTACTTTGTAAGTCGATTTTGGAAAAATACGTCTATTTAGTTTTCAGAAAACGTATACTTTTATGTGAATATATTGTCAAGTCCGTGCAAAATTTGAGGTAGCGCGTATAGAGGTTCAAATTCCCTTCTAAATACCTTTAAACAGTCATGAATTTGAACTGTGAAATTACGGCATTTCAATATTTTAGATGAATGCGTTTCAGTTCCTGAAATGAGTAGGCTTGGTGACATCAAAAAATCATTACTGCTATCATAACAGTCGAAATGTTTGTATTAAAAAAAGATTATAATATCTTAAATCTAAGTCAAACCATGAAAGCATGAGAACAGACCGTGTGTTGGTATGGGGGTGTGGTAACTGGAAAATCAATACATATGTAATACCACGATCAGTAATGTATAGATTAGGCTGCTCACAGCCACTGGGCTGTAAAATGGCGGGAAAATAATCCCAATAAACCAGATGTTTGAACTAATTACCCTTTTTGGAAAAATTAAATTCTTCTTGAAAACTATAAATACGGGATTGGGAATACCAATATAAGAAGAAGCCAACCGAGAAATAGAAAATAAAATTCTGAGAAAAAGAATAAAAATTTGGAATATTTTTCGAGCTGAAAAGAAAAAATGAAAGAAATTCTAGTCCGCCTTGCACGAGAAGATGACTTTAAGGCAATCGAAGAGATGTCAAAAGGAGTTTACAGTGGACACGATTATTTTTTGTGTGTGTTCAATGAGTGGCTTCACAGCCCGCAGCGACTGATCTTCGTAGCCGAGCTTGGTGGCAGAGTAGTAGGGTTGCGGGCAGTGAATATCGTTGATCAAGGCAAGACCTTTATAAGCCAAGGCTTGCGTATACACCCTGATTTTAGAGGTCAAGGGTTGAGCTCCCGGTTGATCTCCTCAGTCCATGAGTATATACGCCTGCACCATCCTAGCGTTAAGCGCGAACGATTTACTACCAAGTCTGATAATATCGAGCGGTTAGCCATCCAGAAGAAGCATGGTGATAGAGCTGTATTGGATCAGGATATTCTTGCTTTCTATGTGAACCAAGGAGAGATATCCCCAGAGGTAATGAATAAAGTGTCCAGCGAAGCATCTATAAAGCTTCACCCATACAACAAGAACCAAGTGTCCGAGGTACTTTTCTCCGAGGGGGTGTCGAACATTCTGTTCCAAGAATCTTGCCTAATAATAGATTGGGAACCCTTCGAGGCTCTACGATCAAATATCGATTACATTTTCCAGGACAGGGATTATCAGTTTGCTGACCGAAGCGCAGCCGATGTCAGTCGTGGGGAACTACCGAAGTCGTTTAGCCATGGACGAATATCTCCGCGTACAGATTGCGTCCATTGGGTGACTACTATCTATACTGATGACCCAATACTGTATAGAGCACATGTTCTACAGCAGTTGAAGTGCGCCTTGGAGCAAGTTCATGGTAGCTTTATTTTCTCACCATTTCATGTGCCAAGCCTGTCGAACGAGGGACGGCAGATCCTGAAGGAGGATTTACAGCTGAGACCTGTGGAATTCTTCACGTTTGGTTTGAGGCTTTTTGAAAAAGAATTTAAATGAAAAGAAAGTGAATGCAAGCAACAGACCTGATCCTCCAACAACTGACAGTGAGTCTCCTGTCTCACCTTAAGATAAAATTCCTAGCAATAGACTTTTCCCGAGCTCGCTTGAATGACCACGAATCAATAGCTCCAAGTTAAGTTGGACTTGATGTGTTCACACCGAATTTACTGTATTTCAATTAATTAATCAAAAAATTCTTTTTAATTAATTCAACTAATTACAAAAAGTGAAGAAATATATCACTCGTTTCCAACCTGACTTTTGGTGCTGTCTATGTTAAAAATAAGCTAATACAAGGGTTACCAATTCCGCAGTCATGTACCACAGGGCTATATTACAATAAATTACAAACCAAATCTTCCTCAAATGTGTTTGTGAACAGTATTCCAGATGACCTATCCACAGGGTTCCCATAAGGTGAGTTGTTAGTTATGCCACGATGGGATTCCCAAACCCAACTCGTTCCTGGACGTCGTGGATTTCATTCAGTAGATTTTCGTCCTTTAGGTTTAGCTGTAAGGTTATAGGTCGTTAGAGATAGATATCAAACAAATAACAAAACTATAAAGCATTGGCTTGTCGCATGCAAGAGACTAGAACACTTGCATTATGGCATTATTTACGACTACCAGAATCCCTTGCACACTTGCACAAAGAATCTTATTCTCAAAGGAATGACATGTGATCTGAAATGGGAAAATATTGCACCCAAGCTAAAAAGGTTTGCTTTAAACCTTTTGGTTTCGTTGGTTTTGATATGAAAAGCAGTGTACAAGTTGGATTATATTCATTACCTTAAGTGCGTATTTATAAGCTTGTTCTGCCTCAAGCTGCCTTGTCGTCTGAAATCACAGAACACATTTCACATTTAGTCGCAACAAACTCAGGGGTATGGGTCTGTTACATCTTACAATCATCAGCTGGTAGTACATATCAGGGAATCAAGGTTGGCTCATCGTTAATGCTTTTACCTCTCAGCCATGGGATGTCATATGAGTAGAGTTTGCTAGGTCTCTCCGTTCATTCGAGGGCTTTTCTCTAGGTTCTCTGATCTCCGCGAGACAAGCTGAATTCCAATTGGATCGGTGATGTAGCCGAGCCGTGACTTAGATCAGCCCATAGTTGTTTCATAAGCGTTTCAGCGTATGAACAAAATTTGATTCTTTTGAGACGTCATACTTACATTCAAGCACACCAATGATAGATAGCCCCATACTTCAGGATCTTTATTATTAAGGATGTTTGCCTCGGACAGGGCGTCCTCTGCTTCCATCAAGTCACCAAGCTGCGACATCAAAAGACGAAAGAAGGTTAAATAAAACGACAGCGTTTACCTACAGCTCACTGGTAAGAGACCTATAATAACTTACCCTGTAACTGGCAATACCAACGCCCAGCCATGATACACAGGATGGAGATCTGACGCAGGCTTTAAGAAAGGTATCTTTTGCTTGTTGAAACTGGAAGAGAATTCATGTTAAAACATTAAAACCAACAAGGTATCCAGCAACTGCCATCAACTGAGGTGCAAGGCGTGCAAAGCGTAAGGGGATTAGTATAAAGGAAGACATTTATTTACTCATATTTTAAACAGGTTTAATCCAGACTTAGGCGATGTATTTTTACAAAGAAATTATTGACCTGGTTTCATCCTTGCAACACAATCATAAGCATAAGCACTTCGCAGACTCATAATAGTAACCGATTTCCCTTCTTATAAAAAGAGAACGAGTATGGGATGCTAGAGCTTCTGTTTCAAGATTGAAAGAGAGCCGACCATGCAAACAAAAACTAGAGCAGATTTCTTCCTGAGCGTGACAGCGCGCAACGTTACTGCTTAGAGCAGTTTTCTTATGACTGTGAAAAAATTGCGTCACGAACACGGTCGTGACACGGCAAGGCATACGCCAGACCAATCACATTGCTGTAGAATTTACTCTCCATTTAATCAAAAACCTGAAACACGGTAGAACACGGTGCGGACACGGTAATGGCAACGTCAAGGTCACAGCACTGCCAGACCAATCACATTGCGCAAGAAACAAATCAGCCAATCAAAATCCTAGAAAACAACACTGTCGCGGCAAGGCACACACACGGCACCGAGCTTTTCCAGTCGTACGAAAACTGCTCTATTCAGCAATGACTGTGCTTGTACGGCACAGTACGGTAGGTCTTTTCCCTACCATTAGAATCTATTTTAAAGCTTTATAGTTACCTGTCCTTTCTCGAGGTAAATAGAAGCCAATCTGAGGTAAATGGCATGCATGTCTGAGGCTTCAGTAATGTAAGACAGAGTTCTTTCATAGTTTTCTCTGGCTTCTTCTGTTTTGCCCATCAAGTAATTTAGGTGTCCAATCAAAGCCCAACAATCTGGGTTCTAAGAAGATAAACAGTCGAACACAATAAAATCAATGACACAGAAAACAAAACGATTAACCCTTGTTCGTTCCTAGGTGCTGTCCTGTCCAAAAGGAACGAAGGCTCTGTAGATAAAAAGAACGTTACATCGTCTTCTTGACACCGCGCGTATTTTGATAAACCCTCTTTAGTAAAAGTTATCAAGAGTACAAACACAGTATCATTACCTGGTGGTTCAGAACTATTGCTTGTTTTAGTTTATCTTCTGCTTCTTCGTACTGCATCTGTTGTATCTTTAAACGACCTAGTGTAATGTAGTATTCTGCACTTGGTTCACCTGAACAAGCTACGAGCTCGTGCGCCAAGGCTGATTCGGCCAACTGCAAGGAACATCAGTAGTTGAAATATATGGAATCAAAGTGTATGGTAGTATGTATCAATGACCTTTTTAGATTTCACTGAGGTGTTCCTTCGAAAATCATGGAAAATTTGGTATATGTACTGCGGCTAAGGGCGTGAACACATGAAGAAATGCTGCAAGTGATGCAAGGTGAATGTCACAATCGGTCCGACCGTACAACGCGACCTGCTGCAATTATATCGTGTCACGCGCGTAGCTCCTTATATGACCTACCAAACAGGACCTACATTTTGTTTCAAAGACTATGTGGAGGGTAGTCAAAGATAAGCAAACAAACAAAGGATTTTTTTTTAAATGTAAAACTGATACCTGAACTGAGTTACCCGATATTTAAAAAAAAATTAAATTTAAGTATGATTATTATCTTCCGTTGTGACCTACCTGTAAAGCGTTGACTTCCAAGAGAAAAGTTGCTGTTTGCAAAAAGATTCCAACACTCGACTTCGTTTCTTGAGGTTTTACTTCTTCTACAACAACTTCAGCGGTAGCCTCGTTCTCCTGGACTACCGTAGTACTCTCCGCAGCGCTTGCAGGAGCAGACCCTGGTTTAGAAGGGCCATTAAACGAGGATGACTGAGTCTGTGGCTTGGATAGACTTGGATGTTTTGATAGTTGCGTTTCCGAAGCGATGACGGTGGATGACTGCTGACCAGCTGTGCTTGGAGGCATCTCATCTTGTTTTTCTTGCTCGGTTTCTTGTGTTTGAGGTGGATTATCGTCAGTAGAAACATTATCGACTGGGGAGAAAGAATAAGACCCTTACAAATGTGCACAGACTGACAGATTCCTTTCTCTCTCTTTTTCTTATCTTTCCGATTACACAGCCTCAACAAATAAGGGAAGTTA